ATGTTATATTATAAGATGTTTCCTACTTATCCTTAAAATTTTATGAAATTTTGACTTCGATAACTATGCAAATGAGTTTATTTTATAATTTTATAGTAATCTGCATTTTAGGAAAGATATAGTTCTTAAGGAAATTAATTTTAAAACTAAATGTTTATGTTTCCGCTAAAGGAGTAGTTAATTAAATTATTATTTTAAATAATTTCTAAGTCCAATGTTAAGGTACAATGATTTGAGTGATGTTTCCGTCCATGCGGGTCGGGGCGTTACAATTCTCATATCTTTCATCGATTGTTACCTACAAATTATATATATATTAGGATTAAGCCATATTTCATCCAATTTGTCAATAAATAATCAGTTTTAATGGCCTAAATAAGTGTATAAATACACTTGTCAAATACTCCCAAACTTGAACATTTTGTTGCCCTCAAACAATCTATAGTCCAACCTAATTAAACTTTGGTTAGATGGAATCCTATTAGTCTCAGGATTGAATAATTTTATCATTACTCTGAATAGTGTCCAAATTACACAATTGAAATTAATTTCCAATTATTCAATGTGAAACTTAAAGTGTGTATACGTGTGTGTGAATATTCATGTAGACATCACAAGCTCATATTTCATCTCCTCTTTTGTAAGATACAAATCCCCAAACTTATTCTTTTCATTCACTTTTCCCGAGGTATGCACTAAAGTTGACTTTTAGCTGATTCTTATCCTCACCCTCTCTCATTCGGATAGATTTTAGCTAGTATAGGTTAACATCTCAACGAATAAGGATTCTCTTATATTTTTTATCACTTCGGCCTCCAAGACTCAATTAAGCTAATAACCCGTTGTCAAAGGTATAACTCTCTAAAACAAGTGTTCGAAGCTTAATCTTGGCACTTGGTGTGTCTTCTATTTCATACACCTGCTTATTCTGCTTCTTTAACCACAAAATTTTCTACATTTTCTTTCCTTTTTTATATATTCTTCTCTCCATTAAGCAACTAAGTGATCCCTGTAGCGATCTTTCAGTCAATGGCTCCCAAGTTAGATGACCATAGGGCACCAAGTTTTAAAGACCCTTACAGGCTTAATTGCTCGAGTAAAAAAAGCTCCGAAGAGAAGTTCTTTTTACTTCTTTTAATCATCAAGATTAGTGCAATGCCCCTTATTAAACACCTATTCTTGAAAATGACCCCCTAACTTGAGATTTTTGCCTCATTTCATGTTATTGGCTCTAGATAATCCACACAATAATTTCACACCCCGAATCCGTACTTGTCTTAATGTTCCCCTACACTAGTTCAATCATCTACAAATTCTTCTAAAAGAAGTTTTATGACCATATGTATTCTTATTGTTTCCGGTTTGTATCAACTATGTCCAACTTTCTCCTGATATGAACCAAGTCATTAACTCATAATGCAAAACATGAATATAGTGCTCAATAAAGATCAAGCTTCACATAAAACAAGTGTCAATCAACTTAACATATAATTTTCCACAGTTCTTAGTTAATTGCACAGTTCCAATGTATGCGTCATTGCCAACAAGGCCATCCAACCCACATAAACACACAAAAATTGAAAACAAATTTTTTTTCCACACGCCAATCATGTAAAAATCAGTAAACTACATACAAATGATGAAGATAAAAGATAAAACCAGCCCAAACTTAACACGTGCATTACCCTCAATGTACCAAAATAGGGGAACTAAATGGAAAAGTAAGGGCGAGAAAGGAACCGAGAACTCTCTTGACACTCGAACGATGACAGTGGAGGTAAATGGGCAAGAATCTCTTTCATCAAAGCAGACTGTTGGCCCATCTCAGCTTGCATGCCAAAACTATGCGGTATGTCTGATCAGCCCGGAACTACATGCCATCATCCTAGTATAATAGTCCAATATCCCAATTAGCCTATCAGTACATCTGCTTAAATTAGAGACATCTTCCTGAGTCCTACTAGTGCTGGCTTGTACAATCTCAATGTTAGTTTACGTATCCTATACCCATAAATCCAAGGTCATAAAGGCTTCCTACAACTTTTGAACATCCTGACTAAGCCCAGTCGTCATCGCAAAAATCTGACGCAGTACAGGTGTGTCCATTGGTGGCTAATGTTGTGGGACGGGATGAATGTCATCGTCACCTCCATGGCACTCATCATCCTCATCACCCTATCATCTTGGTCTAGATAGATCGACTTTTCTCCAAAGATTTTGGGCAAAGTGAATGTTGATTGGGAGAGGAAGATGCATTGTCTGCTTAACTGCTAGTAGACGTACCCCATAAGCACTGCATATCTTACATATAAGGCTAAAAAATAAGAGTGTATGTCGTGTGCCCTCTTTAGCAGTGTTGGCATAGAACAAATTATAAATGTGAGTGGCTAAATCGAGTTTGAGCCTTGAGTCAAATGATGGAGTAATGCAGCTTTTGTGTGATCGAACTTGTACCTATGCTTGGAGGGGTCTACATTGTGGCATACAAACATCATCAGAACCATAAGGGACTCAGTCAAATTAATGTATAAGCAATCAGGTCCATAGAGTGGCCAGGCACATGCTCTCCCATACAATAGCTATGCTAACTTTGGCCAATTTTGCTCTAGTGGTATCGAGGTGAATCCATATCTATTTAACTAAAAATACTCATCAATGACCTCGGGTATGAGCGTAAACCATTTATCCCACACCCAAGTTTGGTGCACGTGATCGGTCCCATGCTCATCGATGGAGAAGTTGAAGTTTGTGTTGAATTCTTGAACAAGTATAGGATAAATAGCAAATGGTATAGCTATCACCTTTTCCCAACCTACATGGTGAATTAATGTCTCCATCTTAAGCCTCAAAAAATCCACCAATATCACTTGACGCTCAGGCAAATACTCCATTTTGTGACTATCTGCTCAAATCGGAGTTTATGTTCTAGGCTAAAGAACCTTTGCAAGCCACCTTCATCAACACAAGAGCATGCCGGGGTGGAGGAAGAAGAAGCCTTGCCTTTCCCTTTTGAAGTGGAGGGAGTGTCGCATGCAGAATCATTAAATAATCAACATGCGATAGATGAACAAGATAAGAGTTATCAAGAAAATGCTAGAAGTACAAAATTAAGGAGCAAAATTTGGATGCTATGTGCGGGGAAGGCACATAGGTGATGCAGGAGCATAGGCACAATTTGTAGTTTCTCCTCAACTGTATGTTAGACATGAAAATTGACGCTAGTAATTACATGGAACTATTAATGTATGTATAGTCCAAGTGTTGTGTGAAAATCAAGCCAAAATGTGGACTGGTATGCCGTTGAAACAATTAATCAAACACCTTATAGGCCATGTGTTGACAAGAATGTATATTATCTCATGAAAGTGATGAATCTACCAATGTTTCAACATATTTAACAAACACCATCATTTACATAAGCCCAGCTTCCAAAATAATCCATAAACCCCAAAAATTGCAAGAAAAATAGAGAAAGTTATGAATGTGAGATTTTTTTCAAAGTGAAGCTTGTTACCTTTGATGTTTTGACAATTAAGGAATTACATCGGAAGATCTTGATGTGAACGGTGTTCTAGGATGCCAACTTTCTTGATGCCCATATGAAGAGGGGAAGAGTGGGGGTGGGGATGGGGACAAGGAGCCAGTTTTGTAGAAAATATGTGCATATGCGTGTTTGGGTGAGGAAAAAAAACTATGAGGATTGTGTACGTGGGTGATTAGAATTCCTCACTAGGCTGGGCTGTGCATACGTAGGTCATGGGCCATTCGTACGCATCATCTAAGCAGATTGGCAAACTGAGGCCAATCTACTAACTATGTGTAAGCACGACCTGTAGGCTTGTGCTTACGTATGGTTAAGCCATTTTTTAAAGATCAAATCTAGCTTTTGCACACACCCCAAACTGTATTCTAGCACATAACATATGTTACAAACATGCAAAAAGAATGTGACACATGTTGAAATTTAACGCCAATCCCGAAAGGTTCATTTTGGTTTAAAATTAACTTAAGCACTCATATTTCAATCCCAACCTAATATTTTTACCATTATGATTGAGATATGTACGGGTGATGTAGGACCAACAAATTTTATACAAATCAAGCTTGTGTCCTAAAATCACACTTTTGAACTTCTTATGTCCTTAACACCTCATTTTTAACTAGATGGTGTGACCTCCCCTCAGTGCAAGCAAGTGAGGTTTGAACTTCCCCAAGCTTATGTAAAACAAATATGAACTTCTGTAACTTGTGCATTGACTCTAACTACCTAGGTAATGAATCGATGACATCTAATCTATTTCAACACAACAAAGCAACAAAAATCCTAATCTAATGCATCAAAGTTTGAATAAATAGAAGGAAAAAGAATTGGGTTGCCTCACAATAAGCTCTTGTTTATAGTCTAAAGCTTGATTTTGTTGCTCAGGCTACTCTGCATTGTTAAGAGGCACGGTTGTCTTCTCAATGGAGCAGTCACCTTTCCATTAATCTTTCAACCATTGTCCATTTACTTTAAACCTCATTTGTTGATCCTAAGATACCACCTCCATAGCATCGTATGGAAACACATCCACCATTGTGAAAAGACCTGACCACCTAGACTTTAGCTTTCCCAAAAAGAGCTTGAGGCATGAATCAAACATCAATACTTGCTAAACAACCTCAAACTTCTTCTCTCTCATATGCGTCATGCCATCTCTTAGTCTTTTCCTTGTAAATCTTTGTATTCTAATATAAATCCAAATGAAACTCATCTAGCTGGTGAAGTTGAAGAACCCTTTTCTCTCTTACTGCCCTCATATTTAAATTAAGCAAGTATGTTTCCCAAAATGCCTTACGCTCTAATTCAACTGGCAAATGACAAGCCTTTCCAAGCACCAGTCGATATAGAGACATGCCAATTGGTCCTTTAAATGCTGTTCTCTACGGTTAAAGTGCGTCGTCTAATTTTTTAGCTCAATCTTTACGTGAAGCATTGACCGAGCTTTGAGAATTTTCTTTTACTCCCCGTTGGAGATCTCCACCTGTCTGCTAGTTTGAGGATGATATGGAGTCGGGACATGGTGTTTCACTCTATATTTGGCCAATAGTGATGCAAATAGACGGTTACAAAAGTGCTTCCCACCATTACTAATAATTGCCCTTGGGATGCCATACCTCTTGAAAATGTTCTTCTTCAGAAATTGAGTCACCACTCGATCGTCATTGGTTGGAAAAGTAACTACCTCAACCCATTTAAACATGTAATCTACTATTAACAATATGTATTGTTTACCATAGGACGAATGGAATGGCCCCATGAAGTTAATGCCCCACATATCGAATATTTTAACCTCCAAAATGCTGTTCAAAGGCATCTTGTTCCTCTTTGAGATGTTTCCAATCCGCTGGCACTTGTCACAAATTTTCACTATATATTGTGCATCCTTAAACAGCGTAAGCCAATAAAAACCTGTTTGTAGTACCTTTGCTGCTATTTTGGTTGCTTTGAAGTGACCCCCATATGGTGTAGAGTGACATGATTCTAATACTTGATGCTACTCTACTTCTGGCACACAATGACGTATGATTTGATCTGGACCCTTTCTACAGAGAATTGGATCATCTCAAAAGTAGTATTTTAAGTCATTGAAGAATTTATTCTTCTGATGACTCGAGTAGTCCGATCAGATGATGAAGTGGGCCAAATAATTGACATAATCAGCGTACCATGGAATAGTGATAATCTGAAAAAGAATTTCTTCTAAAAAAACTTCATTGATCTCCTTTATAGGATTTGACTCATGGGATTCAAGGCAAGCTACTTGATTTGCAACAACGTTCTCGTTCTTTTTTTTTTTTAATATTAGATCTCCAAATCAAATCCTTGCAATAGGAGTATCCATCATATGAGTCTCGACTTTGCATCCTTCTTGCTTATTACATATTTCAATGCTAAATTATCTGTATAGACAATCACTTTTGACCTAATCAAATATGATCTGAATTTGTCAACAACAAACACCACTACCAAAAGCTCTTTCTCTGTAGTCACATAATTCTTTTGAGTCTCATCCAAAGTCTTACTAGCAGAGTAAATAACATCGAAATTTTTCTCCTTACGTTGACCTAACACTATCCTCACTGCATGATCACTGGTATCATACATAAGCTCAAACAAATATCCCAGTCCAGAGAAGCCAACACTTGAGTAGAAAACAATTTTTCCTTTTAAGGTATTAAAAGTAGTCAGACACTTCTTAGAAAAGTGAGATGGAGTCCCTTTTTCAATATATTGCATAATGGATTCGAGATTTTGGAAAAGTCTTTGATGAAGCAATGGTGGAACCAGTGTGACCTAAGAAACTTCTGACTCCCTTCACTATTACTGACGATAGTAGTTTTTCAATAACTTGTATCTTAGATTTTTCCACCTCAATATCCAGTGCTAATATTAGATACCCTAATAGGATTCCTTTCTAAATCATGAATTGACATTTTTCCCAATCTAATACAAATTTTGTGTCTTCACACCGCTGCAGCAATTTTCCCAAATGTTTAAGGCTCTCCTTAAATGACTTTTCAAATACTAAGAAATCATCCATAAACACTTTAATGATGTTTCCCACCATGCCTAAGAAAATAGACTTTATACAATGCTGAGAGGTTGATGGAGTGTTGCAAAAGCCCAAGAACATCATCCTATAAGTAAAAGTACCATAAGGGCATGTAAATGTCATCTTCTCTTGATCATCTGGCATTATAGGTATATGATTATCCAAAAAATAGTAATAAGCATGTTCAGTGAGTCTCTTTAGCATTTGATCAATAAAAGAAAGGAAAAAATGATCCTTCGTCGTGGCATTGTTAAGTTTGTGATAATCAAAGCAAACTCTCCAACTCGTGATTGTGCATGCATGAATGAGTTCATGTTATCATTTAGAACCACTGTGATTCCTCTTTTTTTCGACATGACCTATACTGGACTGATCCAATGGCTGTCTAATATAGGATAGATGATCCTCACATTTTGCAGCTTTAACACCTCTTTTCTTACTACTTCTTGCATAGTTGGATATAATCTGTGTTGATGCTCAACTGAAGCCTTGAAATCGTCCTTCATTAGTATCTTCTGCATATAAAGATAACAGCTGGTCCCTTTTATATCCAATATAGTCCATCCAATTTCTGTTTAGTACTCCCGAAGTACCCTCAAAAACTGATCCTCCTTTGATTCTATAAGAGTATTTGCGATAATTACTGGAAGTGAATTGTTTTCTCCCAAGTAAGCATAGAGAAGATGAGTGGGCAATTGTTTGAGCTCAAGAATTAGAGCTTCCTGTATAGGTGGTAAAGGTTTTGTTGGTTCTTTATCGAGCTCCAAACGTGGTTGCTTAAATAGTGGTGGTATGGCTGCCAGATAACATGCACATTCTGTTGCTTCTTGTTTTTCTGATGGTAGATCTTAAGAATGCACTAAACAAGCCTCAAGCGAATCTTGAGGATGATCAAGTTTAAATGTCTCTACACAACTTCTCTAATTATAACAATCTACATATAAGAATCTAGTTCGTTCTGGAATCTGAAAGTTCTAAACACATTGATCGTTAGTTTCTCCTCATCTAACCTCAGTATCAACTGAACCTTTTACACATCTATCAGAGCCCTTTCCATAGCCAAAAATGGGTGACCCAATATGAGAAGGATGTCACTATCTTCTTCTATATCCAGGATAATGAAGTCCACTGGAAAGATAAAACTTATTGACCTTGACCAAAATATTTTCACAAATACATCGAGGGTGGTTGATCGACCTATTAGCCACCTGTAGTGAAACAATAGTCACTTTTGCTTTTCCTAAACCTAGTTTCCTGAAAAGAGATAAAGGCAATAAATTAAAGCTGGCTTTTAAATCACACAATGCTTTATCTATATATAAATTACTAATGTTACAAGGAATAGTAAAACTCTCTTGATCTTTTAACTTTAGTGGTAATTTATGTTGGAAAATTGCTCTGCACTCCTTAATAATCATGACCATTTCATTGTCCTACTATTTACTCTTGTTTGATAGGAAGTATTTTATAAACTTGGCGTAGTTGGGCATCTGAGCTAAAGCTTCAGCGAATGGTATGTTTATGTGCAGCTTTTTAAATACATTCAAAAATTTCTGAAATTGCTTATCCAGCTTATGTTTTTGCAATCTCTGTGGGAATGGGATCAGAGGCACATATACTTTGACAGGAGGATTTGCTTTCATCCGTGGACTATCTAATGACTCAACTTGATTCTCCTCAGTAGCCTTATCTGACTTATCCACTTGCTCCTTAACGTGGTACGTACCCTTTCTATGATAGTTGCTGGTCATTTTATATGTATTTCTGGTAACGGGACTCCACTTCGTATAGTGATGGCTTTGACATGATCCTTAGGATTTGTTTTGGTATTGCTAGGTAACGTTCCTTAAGCTCTACTTGATAGTGTGGCTGTAATGTGTCCCACCTGTTGTTCCAAGTTCTTGTTTGAGGCCTGTTGATTCTGAAAGTTTGTCTCAGTCTTAGTAATATACTAAGCCAGCAAATCTTCCAGCGATGGTTTTCTCTCTTGACGTTGTTCTTGCTATTGGAACCCTGGTGGTTTATTCTGATTGTTTCATCCCTATCATTGACATCAAGTTTCATAATTGATCCTCCACTGAAGTATCTATTATATTCCTAAACTCTCGTTGTAGACCATAGTAGAAAAGATTTTGTTAAGCTTGTTTAGGAATGTTAAGGCTAGAGTATTTCTTGAAAAAATTCTTGAACCTCTCCAATGCCTCAAGATAGCTCTCTAGATCTTTTTGTTTGAAAGTGTGGACTTCATTCCTAATTTGGTGTACTTGATAGAGTGGGAAGAATTTCATGGTGAATTTCTGAACCACATCATTCAATGATTGGATGGTCCTTGGAGGTAAACAGAGAAACCATTCTCTAGCGACGTCCTTCAAGGTATGAGGAAATAACCACATTCGAAATGCATCTGCAGATATCCCTTCATGACTGATCACTTTGCATAACATGAGAAATGCTGAAATATGTTCACGTGGATTCTCTGTGGCTTTCCAAAAACCTGATGTCTAGGTGATTTTGAAACAGATTGATGAGATTTGGTCTAAGGTGGAAGTTAGGTTGTCTAAAGGGAGGATATACCAGGACAAGTTACACTGGTGCTGGAATTGGAATGACATAATTCCCAGCTAAAATAGGAGCTTTGTTCTGGATAGCTTTTGGTTGATTTTGCTGAGGTATTTGCTCATTAAGTTGAACCTAATTCTGTGGTTGATTTTGATTATCAGGCATTCTCCTTATTTGGCGCTGCACTCTTCTGTGATTTCTGATTGTTCTTTTGATTTTGTGATCAAATGGAAAGAGATCTAGCTCATCAGGATTTTACATATACCAAATTCACCTGAAAAGAGTCAAGACACAATAGAATTAAGCAGTGTAATAGTATCCTCGAAACAACAGAAATAAAAATGAAATGAATCTAAAATATCCAATAACTAAAATTTAACATCTTTATTCTCCGACAATGGCGTCAAAAACTAGTTCATGAAAATCCCACAAACATACGGGTACATTGTACAAGTAATAATCATGATAAAAAGTTATCGTCCCACAGGGAGTAAGGTCTAATTCTAATATATTTGATATAATTAAATTCATTTTAGTAACCAAAAGTTGATTTGTGAATAGCTAATTGAGTTTTGTAATTAAAACTTGTAAAATTAATGAAAGTTTGGGTTAAAAATTAATTGAGTGAACGTATTGGATTTCTGACACCATTGATCAACTCTTAGTTCTAATTCTCAACTAGTGATAATTATCTCAAGTTTGCAATTGTGACGATCGATAATTCTACTTATATTTATTATTCTTTCTCAAGATATAAAAAACCTATGATTACCACGAGACGATCCTATTCCTAGTCCAAATTCATATGGCAAATACATATTGACATATAAGATTATCATACATGATCGCATATTCCACAAATATTATTCCTAACATTTATTGTCCGCATGTTTCAAAAATAGTATTCTATCTACTGTGAGTTTTTCAACACTATGAATAAGTAACTTAATGTTCTAATGGTGCGTAAACATTAAAACAATATAAATATGCATATTAATGGAATCACAATGCAATAATTAAGATATAAACATGAGGTTTTGAATTAAAAACTAAAAATCAAATAGTTTTGTCATCCATCCAATACAAAGAAATTTAGTCTAGCATATTAATGTAAGAAATACATCGAAAATAAAAGAAAGTTGTCAACCAAATCATTAAAATACGAAAAGAATCTAGAATCCTTCAATTTATGCCTTCAAATCTGGATTCAAGCGATGAAATCTTAGTTCTTCAATGTATTTCTCTCTGTTTCTCCTCAAAGTCGGCTTGCAATCTGATAACAATTAGGTATCTCATATTTTTGGCTAGCTCTTAGTATAAATAGGGTGGAAAGATTACGCACTAAAAGTTTCCAAAACAAAATAA